TTTTACATTTCCAAATAGTTCTCAGGTGATGTTGATGCTGCTGGTCCAGGGGAAACATGCTGAGAACTATTGGCTTAAAGTAGAAAAAAAAGCCCAGAAATATTCGTAGTATATCACTTCTGAAAAACTACAGTAGCACTCAAGAATTGGTTTTATTTCAAAATTTGCTAGGTGAACAAGTCGTGTATACATTGTCTATAAAAAGAGGTACCTTAATAAGCGAAATATAAAATAAAAATATCATGTTCTGTAGAGCTTATTTATGGAATAGAGTAAGACAGTGTATACTAATAATTCAGAAGGGTTTTCTATCATAAGGTTTACTCTTACCTGGCCACAGTAAGAGTAGAAAAGTTCCTTCAAATGGCATTTCCATTAAAATACTAATAACATGGCTGCTATGGATAATGGAAAGCCACTGAGAAACCATAAGTTTAACATTTCATTTTAAAATTATTCTCTTCTGCTCCAAATCAGAAGTATTTAAAGGGACAACACTTAATTTCAGTTTTCTCATCAATTTTTGGTGGACAACTTTAAATGGAAATGTCAATGAGCTGTAAAATTCCTACAAGGTGGGCAAATTAAAAGTAAAAATAGGCCAGGTGCAAGAGCTCAGGCCTGTAATCCTAATGGATGCTTTGGGAGGCTAAGGAGGGAGGATCACTTGAGTCCAAGAGTTTGAGGCTGCAGTGAGCTATGATCACACCACTGCACTCAAGCTTGAGTGATAGAGCAATACCCTGTCTCTAAAAATTAAAAAAAAAAAAAGAAATGAAAAATAGAAGTGAATTTAAAAGCCTCAGTAACCTACAAACAAAGCATAGCGCCTCTGATTAATGAAAATCAGCTCTACTAGAAAAATTAAAGTAAGTTTAAGTAGATTGAAAGTTTTTTAAACCTAGCAATCCAGTGGTTAGATCTGTGTTCTGGGCTTGTTTAGGCAGGTCTCACATATATCAATAAATGATTGTGTTGGTTAAAATGAACTTAAGAATAAATTCCTTATTAATGGGAAAATTAAGAACAAATTAAAGTTGGGAAAACTTTCTTTAGTGTATGCAGTTTTATGCTTTCCCAAAATGCACTATGCACATGTTTCTTTCTTTCTTTTTTTTTTTTTTTTTTTAATTGACCTTATTAAGTTTTGGTTATTTTTTAATTGGTTGTCTTTTATTAGTGGTACCCAAACCTAGATTCAGCTCCACCAAACCAAACCAATATTAAAAGACCAAACTCACTTTTATCTTTAAGGTATTTTCCTGACCAAATTCCATCTGACATGATGCAAAAATGGTTAAATTCTGTGTTGAAATCAACTTTAGCAGTCCCTCAATATAGATAATCTTTCAACATTGGTGACTGTTGGTCACTGAAACATTCCCAGTGATTGAGGCCTTTTGACTTTACAAAACAGTCTCTATTATTTTTGCACGCTTGAATTTTAAGCCGAGACTTGTTTCCTCATCAGTTATCCTTTTTGGCCTTGGTACTGCCCTCTGGAAATCCACAATATAAGTCACATCTGTCTTTGCCCAGCAGCCTTTCAAATATTTGAAGATAGTTATATATTCTTGAGGTCTTTTCCTTTTTAAGCTAAGCATCCTCAGTTCCTGGAGCCTTGCCTCAAATCATATATGTTTTAGATGCCTCATCATCCTGGTATTTCTTCTCTAAATGCAGCTATTTCTTTTCAAATAAAGATAATCAACAGAACAGAGCAAGTGTGGTCTGACTAGGGTAGAGACTAATTGAGCTCTTAAACTCTCTTGATTCAGATGATAACTTTTTACTAAAGTGGTTTAAGTATGAATTATCTTGTTTAACAGCTACGTTCTACAAGTTCATATTGAATTTATAGAATTTTTAGATAAACTTCCCAACTTAGGTGTTTATTGCCCTTCACGCACTTCATGCAATTAATTTTTATAAACCTCAAAGCGAGACTTACTGTTTATCCCCGTCAAACTTCATCTTACTACATTTGTTTGTTGAGTATTTTGAGATCTTTGAGATCTTGGTTAATATCCATTCTTTAATTATTCTACTTAGATGCTTTTTACTTACAAGTTCAATAAACATGCCTTTAATTGATATATTGTGAACAGGACAGGTACAAGTATCTTAGGCATGAATCGAAAACATCTCTCATCCCTGAATACCTATTACTCCACTACACAATCTATGCTGTACCCTATCTATTCATTCAACAAAGATCCACTGAGTGCCTACTTCATGCCAGATACTACTACAGTTCTAGGTACTGGACATGTAACAGCAATAAGAGAGGTAAGTTCCTACCCCCTACAACCTTACATTCTGTTAGGGAAAGGCAAAATAAACAACCAAACAAATAATGTAATTTTCCATAGTGATACGAGAAAAATTAAGCACAGCAAGAAGATACAGGAGATAGATAATGGTGGTGGGGGTAGGGGGCAATCCTATTTTAAACTGATTGGTCTATGAAGTCCCATCTGAGAAGGTAACATTTTAGCAGACAGCCTGAATTATGTGAAGTATGCTGTGTGAAGATCTGGGGGAACAGTTTCCCAAGAAATCATAGAAAATGCAAAGTCTCTGAAGAGAAAATAGGCATTCCAGAGAGAAAAAGAAAACCAAAAAGACCAGAGTAGACACAGTATAGTGAGCAAAGGCAGGAACAAGTGGTGGGAAATACACCATAGCAAGGACTTGTGATTTTATTGTTAATGTAATGAGATGTATTTGGAGGACATTAAACCAGGTAAAACTTTAAAAGAATATTTCAACTGACGTTAAGAGAAACTTTTGAATAAGGACAAGAGTGGAAGAAAATCAACCATGTAAGATGCTTTTGCAGTATTTCAAACTAGAAGTTATAGTGACTGTGGTGTAGTGATGATAGAGAAGGTAAGGAGTGTTCAGATTTGGGACATATTTTGAAGGTACAGTCTTCAAACATACTAGTGGCTTAGATACAGAGTGAGGGGGAAAAGAAGAAGGAACAATTGGATTAATTTAATTGTCTCTTTTTGTTCTATGGTTTCATATATGTCTTCTTGTGTCTTTGGATTATAAACTCTTCAAGGAGAGGAACCCTGATCTTTTTCCCCATATCACCTCAGTTCCAGGGATGTAGTACTTTGTGAATATGTTAATTATCAATAGACTATTTCTGAATCCTCCACTTAACCGTCATAATTCCTTCTTTGAAAAGTCTCATATTTCATCATTTTAGCACCCTAATCTAGGGCTAAGTAACCTAGAAGCCAGGTTAGCACTACAAATGTCTAACTCATCTCTCACTCTAGCCTATCCCAATGTAACTGAAAATGCAAATTAATGACTTGAAAAATATGCTTTAAATTATTCATTCAATAAGTACTTACTAATTTGTCTACTTTGTATCTAGGGCCTTTCTAGATCTCAGGGATATAATAATAAACAAAACAGACAAAAAACCCTGCCTTAATAGAGCTTACATTTGCAATAACTAAATATATAAAACAAGTTTAATAATAATAAATATCATGCAGAAAAAATGAAACAGAAAAAAGGGTATAGAGAGTGTTAAGAAGATCACAATTTTAAATAGAAAAACCTCTTTAAAGAGGTTACATTTGAGCAAAGATTTCAGTCAATGATAGAGTAAGTCATACAAAAATCAGAGAGTACAATAGTACAAAGTCACTGCTGTGGGCATGAGCTTGACTTGTTTGAGAAATAGAAGACTAACGTATTTATGAGTTAGTTGCTAAGTGACAGGAGGTGAGGTCAGCACGATGGCGAAGGCCAGACCATTTAGGGCTTTGAGGACATGGTAAGAAATTTCCATTTTATTGTATATGTGAAAGGAAACCACTGGACAATCTGAAGTTGGGCATCATCTGACTTTTGTTTTTAAAAAGTCACCTAAACTGCTCTGTAGATAATTGACTGTAGAGGATTGAGGTCTCCTGCTTTATGGCCTTTGGTGGCTTTTAATCAATTAAAAGCTATCTTCTTATTTTCAAAGTCTTTATTATTAGCCTATTCTATGTACCACTAGTTCCTAGCATATGCCCTCTATTTGTCAAGCTGATTTCATCATAGGCTTCTTCATATCATATGTATTTATACGTCTTTACCTTTGCCTATCTTTCACCTTTAAGATTCTGCCTTCCATCCTCTCTTATCCACCATTCAGGAAACATTTCAACTTTTAATTTCATAAAATGCTTTTCTGACTTTTCCATCTCTCTGATGTCTCCAATTACTAAATACTTTTGTCTGTAGTTAATTACTGAGCACATGATCATGTACTTTATTTTATTGCTGTGAATATTTACTGTGTGCTAATCTTGTCTTCCAAATGATGTTGCAAGTTCTATGATAGCAGGGAATCAATGAATTCTATATCTCTCATGGCATCCAGCAAATCTGGGAAGTATGTCAAGTGAATGTTAAATGATGTAACATGTGGATTGACGTTTTTCATGTAATGGTATAATGGTGATCACCCAAGTAGCTTCTGGTAGAATAGGAATTGAGGTTGGGTGAATAAAAACCATAGTTTATTTCCTCAGTCATCAGTCACCTAGTCACATATAACTGTACACTTGCTTTTATTGTAAAATTCTAAAGGCTCGATGGACACCTTATTGATTTTAGTAAAACTGACTATTTACCTGTCAATCGAACACTGACCACAAAATACTGTATTTCTTTATGCTATCACTTTGTTTTGGCAGCATGTAACAATTTTGTTAAAAGCCAGTCTCAAGTTGGAAGGCCTGCTCAAATGGCTGGCATGTTACTACTATAGTCACAGGGGATGCTTGGTGTTCACAGCTATTCAGGAAGGTATAGAGAGCCCTGGCCATAGATGTAGCTGATTTGTGCGGGGAAGAGGCAGCCCAGTTGCAGGCAGCCATCTCTCTTCCCCCCTCCCCACTCTTGGGTTCTGGGCTGAGGCCAGGGACTGTCCTGAGCTGATCGCAGGCTCCCATTGGCCGCTGTCTTTTGTGACGTCACGATCATGATGAGAATTGATGATCGGACACGCTGATTTCATTGTCTGAAGCGGCAGTGGAGACCCAGGAAAAATCTCGCTGAACCCGCCTGCCCCAGCAGTGGCCTGATCTGGGTTCCGCTGATCTCTTTCGTAACCGCACCGCACCCGAGGTAAGCACTCAACACTGAGTGGGTGTGAAAGGCGAAGGAGGGAGGGTAAGGCACCGGGATAACGCTTTTCCCAGTTTGGGGCGGGGTGAGGGGGGGTTCATAGGTTCCGTGGCCTAAACAGGCAGCCAACAAACTGGTGTGGGTCCTAGGGAGCCAAGTGCTTCTATCCTCCTAGCGAAGGCTGGCGGCTGAGTGAGGTTAGAAACGAGTTGCAGATAGAGATACAATGGGGATTGCCAGAGAGCGAAGAACCTTGCTCCGGGAGAGAGCGATGTTTGGGACGCCCTTCTGGCCGGGTAGTGGGAGGAAGTGGCGCCTCTTTCTCCGAAGAAAGGGGAGGATTGAATTCTACCACTTCTAGATTTCACTGGACAGTAGATTTCTCACAGCCTTACTCAAAGACACTGAGTGCTGCGCCTGCGCATTAGCACCTTGGTGGGGGCGGGGTGAGTCACAGTGAGGAGAATAGGCGTGGAGTTTGCACAGGCGCTGTTTCTGTTTCACTGGAGGAGGTGGGGCTGAGCCATTTCTGGGCTGAATTTGGAAAGTAGAGACCAGAGAAAATCCCAGGCCTTGTGACGTTTCAGGCACCAGTTGATGGGGAAGGATCTGCCATTTAGTTTATTCTGGCCTGCTGAGTATATCTAGCTTCAAAATGGCCCATATAAATTTGAGAGGACAAACTCTTAATTTCCAGATATTAGATGTTGAATAACGAAATAAACTCTAGAAGAACTTGTGGAATAGAAGTTTATCAGATAAGAAACTGTTTGGAAAAATAAACATTAATTATTCAAATGAATCTAACTTTTAATCTAAGGAGCTCTGATTTGGGGTGACAATGATTTTGAACCTTAAATTCTTTGGAAAGACAGAATGAAGTTCATTGTGGAGGCTCAGAGTAAGAAATTTTTCTTTTTTGTCTTTTTTTTCTTCTTGGAACAATCTGTTAGAAATCTTTAATCTTTATATCAAGTTTGGTGCTAAGTCCATCTTCTTCCTCTGTGTCTCTGCTAGAATCACTGAAGTCAAATATTATCTTGAGAGACCCTTTCCTGCACCCCTTCATTGGGAAGGCAGTTATGTTACTTATATTAAGGATTTTATTACTCAGCAGTTTTGGGGAACAATGAAGAACAACCTGCCTATTCTTGATAAATAGCTTGTACAGTATTGTTATTAATTGCCCTCCACAGTCTGATCATAGACTCCTGACAATTTTACAGAGGAATCTGAATTTTTCTCTACTTCTCATAGTTAACAGATTGGCAAGTACTGGTAAATTTTCCCTTGAAAGCCTTCTCACACCATTTCTCCTTTACAATCTAAACTCTCTTCACCACCCATCTAGTCATTGTAGGAGCTTCCTAGGCAGTCTTCACCTGTGCCCCAAATCCTTAATGGTTTGTGAATACTACTTTCAACAAATCACTTTCTTTCACCAACATATTCGTGGCCCTTTATTTTCTATTGTTTCAAGCCTAATTCCACCTGACTTTCACAGAACTCCATAATCTGGCCTCATTGTGATGCAGGAGCCTTATTTTCCTTTATTCTTCAGTGCACAACTCTCTTTAATGTTCAATTAGAGAGAACAATCTACCTCTGTAACTTTGCGCCTTACACAACTACTATTCACTTCACCTAGGATGACCCCTCTTCTACATAATTCACGTCTTATCCACTTTGGAAACTCAACTCAAGTTACACCCCTCTATAAGTGCCTTCCAAGTTAATATAACCCAAACATTCCTGGCCTCACTTTTCCTAGAATTCCCACATCAATTCTTGTATTTGTCACTTGCTTGTAGGCTGCTTTGTATTGCCTTCTTAGTTGTTTTTGTTGTTGTTGTTGTTGTTGGTGGTGGTGGTGGTGGTGGTGTGTGTGTGTGTGTTAGACTGGAATCCTCAATTAGATTTTAAACACTCCCTTAAGGGTTGGGACTGTGCCATCTATTTCTTTTTCTGCCCATAGTACCTAACTGAATACTCAAAATAGCTGTAGCAATATATGTTCTTTTTTTTCCCCTAGAAAACAATTTCCTGGGAAATGAAGCAGTATTTTTATAGAGAGAACTGTATACATGTGAAAGCTTATTCATCGTTGTTCAGGCAAGAGACCCTGCAATGACTAAATAAACCTGAATGTAAGTCAGAGGAAAGGAATTACATAGATCTCTATTTGCTGGGTGGCCTTCAAATAAATTATGTCCTCATAAACAAGATCAAGGGAGGGAACACCATGCCAGAAGGGGTTCTGTCTCTAATTTTCTCAGTTTGAAAAACACTAAAGATGTATTTCATTGTTCTGTACCTCTCTTTGATGACATTGTGTCAAGTATCTTTAAAAATATACAAATTACTCACTTTTTTAAAATTACATTTTATCTAGAGTTGCTATCTTATATTGCCTATTCCTTATAGTGTTCATGTGTACATCTCTTGAATCAGAAATGACCATTGTGATGGTTGTTATAATTGCTATTACATGTTGGTTGTCACTTTGCTATCCTTTAGGCTTCAAATTGCATTGTTCTGCAGAGCTCAAGTTTTACTTGAATGACAGTGTGATCATGGTTTAATACAGAAGTTTTTCACATATTTCACTTTGGCTACTGCCTCACTTTGAGGTAGCATCCCAATATTACATAAAGGTTTTTGCGTTAGAAATGTGGATTAAAAGCAGTCCAGAAGGGTGTTGTAACCTGTAAATTAGAACATTATGATTGCAGATTATTGTAAGGGACCTATGAACGTTATTTATTAGAAGGGAAAATCCTTTGACCTTTTCTCTGATTACCTACATTATATGAATCTCCTCAAAGCTGTTTTAGCTTATAGCCAGCTTTCATACTAATTGAGACTTTCCTAGACATTTACATATAGACCAATAGAGAAGACTGATCAAACTTAAGTGACTCTGGATAGAATGTGGTGCTTAGAGATATGCTGTTAAGTTTAGAGAGCCCAAAATAAAATGTGAAAAAAAAATGAGTGTGACATGTGTTTTTTAAGGTTGATTTTACAATTTCTGTCTGGGAGGATGGCATTGGGTTTTCTCATTTAAGTTGCAGAGCTTGAGTTGGAAGAGATTTTGTAATGATAAGCCAATCCCTTTATTTTACAAGTAAAGAATCTGAAGCCCAAAGAAGTGAGGTACTTTACCTGCATTAATAAACAGTAATAGTTATTAAGCACTTAGTGCCAGGTGTTGCGCTAAAAACTTTATATATCTTATTACATTTAAACATAATGAGTGTATAGTTTTATTTCCCATTTACAAATGAGAAAACATATTTCAAAGCAGTTGATTTTCCTGGGACCACACAGCTACTATATGTCACCGTCAAGACCCAATAGCGGGTTTGACTTGTAATCACCAAGCTGTGCTTGACCAAGGTCATATGATGAACTTTTGGCTGAGATTTCGCTATCATCTAAATCTCTGAAGTCTGAGACGTGTATTTGTGTGTGTGTGTGTGTGTGTGTGTGTGTGTGCCTGCGTATGCTCCATTAATACCACATCACTTCTACAAAGTCAGAGGTTCGTAAGATTGCCCAAATAAATGGTGTATACTTAGATTTGTTTTAAGTATTTTATTAAAACACACTCTCTCAGTCTTGTTTCAAAAAATATGGCATGAAACTTTCCATAAAATACATTTTTAAAACATTTATTTTTTTCTGCTTTTAAAATTTAAAATTGAATTATTCTTCCAGGGGGAATTATATTTTTATAGTGTAATCTTAAACAGAATAAACAAAATTTGAATTGTTGATTTTTATTTTATTGTGGAGTCAGTGAGCTAAAACTGAAATTGGTGGTTTCTTAATATACTTGCATTGAGTACATTATATCTAAGTACACTAGATTGGAAGCAAATATTGATAATTTTTGAGATTTTTTATGCATAAGAAGTGAGCTCAAAACACTAGTATATTCAGAAGCTATCCCTGATATCCTAATACCTTTCCAGTCTGCATAAAATTTTAAGGAAATAAGTTGAAACCTGTCTATGCAAATGGGGTCATTCTTGGCTCACTAGTAGCAAAATTGACTGGATTAAACCAGAGATCTAGTTATAAAGCAACTGAATACATGAAATTATACTGTCAGTCAATTAAATGCTGCACATTACCTCTTCCACCTGAAGAAATCTAGAACAGCATCTGTCTAAACTTTCTGGTCTCCTGTTGTTTCACAACTAGACATATGTCCATTTGGGTTGATCCTTAGAATCTTTAAGCCTATTATTTGTCAAAGTGGCAAAAATTTAGCAAACCATCTCCTTAAACTCTTTTCCCTTGGAGTTAGGGACAATTTCTTTCAAGGTTCTGAAAACAGTCATGCAAACGTGTGGCTTACATGCTCCCACTAAGCACTTTTGTTATTAGACAACTATTAGTTCATGGTGCTCATGCAAGCTCATATAACTACTAAGTGGCAAAGCCAGAATTTGTGGGCAGATGTTATTCTAGACACTGCATGCTCAACTGTTCAGCTGTTAGGCTATAGGTTAAGGAGCTAGAGTGAGACCTATTTTCACTGTTTCTTCAAAAAATTTATACATATATATACACACATATACACATAAATTTATATATATACATGTATATATGTGTGTATGTATATATATACATATATATATAAATTTATGTGTATATATATATACATGTATACATGTATATATATGTGTGTATGTATGTAACACATGTATATTTTCCACCTAATTTCTTTTCTCCTTCTGAGCCTCTAATAGCTGTAATATTTTCCTGTATTTTTCCTCAGTAGAGATGACATTTTTTAAATAAATAAAGGCTGAAATTTAGGGGAAAGGGCTCATTGTGTTAACCTCCAATGGCTTCACTGGCAAAAGGCATGTAGACTCATATTCTTTCTTACTGTCAAACCAACCAATGTTGAAAGCACTTCATGAGTGGATTTTATTAAAAAGTAGATTATACTATTATATAACTTTTCTAATACATCAATTTATTAA